GGTCCCAGTCCTGGTAGCGAAAGGCCAGCTCCTCGTCAAAGTGCGCCTCCCGGAAGGCCGCCCGCCGAATTAGCTTGTGGCTGAACTTCCCCCGCAGGTCCATAAAGTACTTCAGCATCTGGTTATTGGTCTTCCCCGAGAACATGATCTTCCCCGTGTACAGCTCGTAGAGGGTGCACCCCACTGACCACATGTCGATGCCGTGGTCGTGCGGCAGGCCGAGAACTAAAATGGTGAAGGGGTGAAAAAAGGAAAAAAAATTAGAAAAAAGTTTTTATAAAAGAAAAGGTAGGGGCACTCACTAATCTCCGGCGCCCGGTAGAAGCGACTGACGAGGTAGGGGGCAATCTCCGACTCGGTGAGGCGGCCGGCGGAGCCAAAGTCACAGAGCTTCAGCACCGTCTTCTTGTTGTTGACCTACGACGAAAAGCGATTAATAAAAAGCACACATTAGCAATCCCCTCATAAAAAACACCTCCCCAAAACCAAAACCAACTTACCAGAATATTATCCGGCTTAATGTCCGCATGGAGGATGGCCGTCTTCTTCAGCAGCCGCAGACTGAGAAAGAGCTGGTGGGCGTAGCTCCTTACCGCGTCAATGTGCAGCCCCACGTCCTTGCCGTACTTTTTGAGCACCTCCCTCAGATTCATGCTGAGCGACTCAAAGACCAGACAGAGGTGGTTCCGGTGGTAGAAGGAGGTGAACAGCCGCAGACAGTGGTACTTGTCCTCGGGGTCGGCGGCGTTCAGCTTCATCAGCAGCTCGCGCTCCTTCAGGCCGGTTTTGTGCCTAGGAAACGGAGTTTTTTTGTTAGCAAATAAAATCCCAAAAAGCTAAAATCTTTTTCACTTACATAATTTCATTATTCCTAATAATTTTAATGGCCACGTCCATGTTGCTCGATTTTGAGCCGCCGGCGGCAGCTTCTTTGGACTCCTTAGAGTCCTTGCTAAACTCCTTCACCTCCCGCTCCTTGCGCATGTCCCGCGCCCGCACCACATTGGAGAAGACGCCCTGCCCGGTGAAGCCGTACACCGAGTAGCGGCCGTCGAGGAGTTCGCCGATGCGGATGCCTAAAAGTTAAGGAGTTAAAAAAGGTTAAAAAAGATAAAAATCTTAATAACCAAAAAATCACTTACGATAGTACCCCTCCGCATCGTCCCAGTTGTCAATCAGATGGGAATCTCCCCGCCTTCTTCGATCCTCCAAACTGTCCTCCTTGGCCCTCAGGTCGTAGCCCGCCCCACCGCCACCCTCAAACTTCTCATCGGCAAACATGTCCAGGTGGCGGCTGCCGATTGAAGAGGAGGAGGAGTTCTTCGAAGTGGCCTGCTCAAACATGTCGCTCAGCTCGGGGTTGACCCGTTTCGCCCGCTCCACCAGGTGCTTCGGGCCGATGATCACCTTCGTGGTGCCCTCCACCTCGTTCGTCTTCAGGATGGAGGTGAAGGTGGTGGGCGGCGGTGCTCCAGCGCCTGGACCGCTTTTGGAGATCGCAGAAACTCCCAGCGAGGAGGTGCCGGTGTCCTCGGAGACGACCCCATAGAGGTCCTCGNTCTTCGAAGTGGCCTGCTCAAACATGTCGCTCAGCTCGGGGTTGACCCGCTTCGCCCGCTCCACCAGGTGCTTCGGGCCGATGATCACCTTCGTGGTGCCCTCCACCTCGTTCGTCTTCAGGATGGAGGTGAAGGTGGTGGGCGGCGGTGCTCCAGCGCCTGGACCGCTTTTGGAGATCGCAGAAACTCCCAGCGAGGAGGTGCCGGTGTCCTCGGAGACGACCCCATAGAGGTCCTCGGATTTGGCCTTCGAAGTATTTTCTTCAGAAGTGATGACGGTAAAAGCAGCAGCAGAATCTTTAGGCTTTCCACTGCCGCTCGTCTGCAGCCGCTTCAGCAGCTCCTGCCGCTGCCGTCGTCGCCGCTGAATCTCCTCCTCCTCGTCCTTCTTCTCGTCCGGCATCAGCTCCAGGTCGTCGTCGTCCTCGTCCTCATCATCATCATCGGTGTCCCGGTCCTTGAAGCGATCAAAGCGAGAGCTGCTGCTTTTGGCCGCGGCGGAGGAGGAGGTCTTTTCGGGTATTTTGCTGCCGCTGTAGTTGTTGTGACCGTTGCTGGTGGAGTTGTTGTTGAGGGCGGTGTTGGAGTTGGAAGTTCTAGAGGGACGGTCTCGATCTCCTCCTCGATCGCCTCGGTCTCTGTTTCGATCATCAAGTGGATCTCTTCCACTACCGCCGTCTCGTTGGTCGTATCGGGAGCGTCTAGAGAAAAGGTCAAAAGTTAGTCAAAA